TTATAAAAACGTTTTCATAATTGTAACATACATATTTACATACATAATTATTCAGGTGCATGTGTAATAACTTACGAAAACTTGAGGCTACAGCAGCACTTCTTCGTCGTCGTCTTGTCTGATGCACTCAACCAAGCGTTAACCACGACCTCTCCCCTCCCCACCCCCCAACCATGAGCCGCTTTGTGACATCACAAAACCCGGAAAACAAACACTGTAGTCCAAACGAGCCGTTCGTTGTAGTTCTTGAAAAGGGATTTTTTAAAAACAAAATATCTCCCTTTGGAGTAGACTTTGAGATTTGTAAGTTTGAAGATCTTTTTTATGCCCAAACATACACACTACACACTGACTAAAATTCAAAAAGTGAAAAAGCATAATAGGACCCCTTTAAGAGTAGGAAATGTGTAAACTTGCATAAAAACGAATGGAATAAATCATAATGCTCAATTTTACAGAGCCAATCACCTTTTTGTTAAAGGACAGGAAGTCTGAAAAATGCTATTAATTTGCATGATTTCAACTAGTGAGGTTATGACCCTATTTGTTGTCTAATTGTATTTCTGATTTGAAATATGTTATTTAAACGTAATATTGACCAATACGGTTTGAGAGATTTCAGCCTCTTAGCTTTCGAGCAGACAAGAGCGGTACCTGCATGACTGGACAAAGCTGCCTGGAGGCATGACCAAGATGGTCGCCGAAGGGAAGTGAATTTTTCAAAGAGGACTTTGCTAAGGGTCAGAAAGAGATTGTGGAGAATGGTCTTTTGAAACTAAATAGTGACTGTTTTTGGCACAGGAATTTTTGACTTCAGGAGAAAAGGGTATAATGGTGTAGATGTGGATGATTAAGGGATCAGGAAAATTTAAACAAGCCGTCCAATTTTTCTGAATGAAGCCGTGAATAAAAATCAGTGTTACATCTTGACTTTAGATGGCTGTGATTTTATGGTGTTATTGTTATTATTAAAATAAATGTTCTGGTGGAATGAATAATCCACCCTACAATTCCATCTTTTAGTTTGCCATTGTCTTCAAGACGCCTAAATATCGGGACCAGAACCTCCAGAAGCCCATCTCTGTGTTTGTGCAGCTAAAAAGAAAGTCAGACAATGAAACGAGTGAACCCAAGCCTTTCACCTACCATCCACAGATTATAGGTAAAATCTTTAACCTACTCCCTAAAGGTTTGATTGTGACTGTGCAACATAAACTCTTTTTTTTAGGATTTTCTTTTCAAGCCAAGACAAAAATGCAAAAGTCTGAGATCACTAATGACAGTTTCTGTTTTGCATGTTTTTTTATATATATATATATATATATATATATATATATAGCTAATAGTCACATTTAGCTGAGTAAGATCATGATTGAGAAATGTTGACTGGAAATGCTGGTGTTATGGGGTATCCTATTTATTATTTTAGGATTTTTTTGTTTGCCCCAGTGAAGCATTTCTATTAATATAACTGATTAAGTAGTCAAACTCATTCCATATCAGCAGAATAGTGTGGTACAGAAAGTCTATGTCCATAAAACAGGTTCTGAATGAATTATGTTACTGATACCTAAGTGTGGTACAGAAAGTCTATGTCCATAAAACAGGTTCTGAATTAATTATGTTACTGATACCTAATGGTCAAAAGCAAAAGTAATAGGTCAATATTATTAAATTGCAGACAAAAATTTTGAATAGCTAGACTGGCTTGTACACAAAAAGTATTGGGACACCCCATTCTAATGAACAGATTTGACTACTTTAGTAATTTCTAATTTTTTTTTTAAAGTATATAATGCTATTCTAGTATTAGAATTGTGTACTTCTAATTTTATACCAATAGTTTGAACAGGACCATTTTCTATTCTATCACGACAATGCCTCTGGGTATTCTGGCGTCAAAGATGGAAACATAATTCATGTATTTAAAAATTGTATTTCAATCTTTGTTGCCACAGTTTTGGAAGTGTCTAAAATGAATGTACGCATATGTACAAGTCATTGGTGTTTGGCGATGAGTTTTTTTTTTAGTTTTCCCAATACTTTGGGCAACATAGTGTATGTTTGGTGCGGTAGGGGGCCCAACCTCATATTCTTTCATAGGGCCCAAAATTGCTAGCGGCGCCCCTGACCATATGTTTACTTTGCCATTGATATACTGTTTCTAAACCGTTTTAAGACAAAGAAGAAGTCCAACGAAAGAGACAGAAGACACTGCCAAACTTCCAGGACTACAGTGGAGCAGGAGGCGGAGCTGGGGGCATGTTTAGAGGAGGAGGGGGTGGGTCTACAGCAGGGGGCGGTCCCAGTGGAGGAGGAGTGGGAGGTATATGAATATGCCATTACACTTCATATATCAGTAGCTTTATTATTAGAAGCCTGAAATTCCCACCATGCATAAAAGGTCAGTGATGTTAGCTAAACACATTCTTTTGTCTTGTAGGACATTTCTTCCAGGGATATCAAACCTATAACAATTTTGGGTCTGGATACAACTTCTCCTCAGGCGTGGGAGGAGGCGGGACCACCATCAAGCATGGTGGGTGTCCACGCTGTCAATCAAGCTGCTGCCATTACAGCAGTTTTGACTGTACAATTACATACACTGCCATGTAAAAGTTTGGGGTCAGTAAGATTTTTGAAAATCGTTTTGAAAAGTCACTTATTCTCACCAAGGCTTCATTTATTTATACTAATACAGTTTAAAATAGCTGTTTTTTATTTTTATACATTTTATATTAATGTAATTTATTCCTGAATTTTCAGCAGTCATTACTGCAGTCATCAGTGTCACATGAGCCTTCAGAAATCTAAAATGCTGATTTGGAAAAAGAAGCATTTCTTATTATTATAAATGTTAAACATGGATTTGCTGCTTATTTATTTGTGAAAACCGTGAAACTAATAGGATGTTGCCCTCAAAGCTAGTTTCTCAGTTTTCATTTCTCTTATAGCGTATCAAGAACCAGTGGAAGACAGTGATGAGGACAGTGACAGTGATACCGATGATGATCCGGCAGCAGGTGGGGTGGTGCGAATCTGTGCCCAGCCTGAACCTGTCGGTTTGGGAGTGGAAAGTGAGGACACAGAGCCTACAGAAAATCTGGAGTTAAACACCACAGGTTAGACTTTGCTTGAAGCTAAATCTTCAAATGTTCAAATAAGCTTGTGCAAAGTTTTCTAGCTCTGGTCAAACAAGACTAAAACCCAGACAAGCTTCGTATTGGTTGTAAATATTTCTGTGCAAATTTGTTTGTCTGCTCTTTTCAGGCTGTGTGTTAGAGCCGCATTTGGCTGAGCTAGCTGGAAGACAGGCTCAAGCTCTCTTTCATTACGCAGTAAGCGGTGATGCTAGAATGCTTCTGGCTCCACAGCGCCCCCTCATGACCACTCAAGATGAGAACGGAGACACGTAAGTCAGGAAAAACCAACTTCATATTTCTGTAGAAGTTCTATTTTCATAAACTTCCCACTTTTCGCCAAAACACGTCAATATGAATAAATTATTTCAGATGTTTTATCTTTGTTTCCCAAAGATCAAAGCTTTACTTACTTATATGTTCTGTTTTGGATCGGACTTTTAGGGGTTTACATTTGGGAGTGATCCATAGTCAGACAGATGCCGTGCGAAATCTAGCACAAGTCATCTCGGGTCTCCCCGGAGAGGACATAATCAACATGAGGAATGATCTGTACCAGGTATACTACAAACTCACACTATAACTTAGAATTGGATTTCTGTTTTTCACTGCAACCAAAGCTTGTGAAATTCCCAAAAGCTCTGTGGCCAGTAAAATCCTCTGATACATCTGTTCCAGACTCCTTTGCACCTAGCAGTGTTGACACAGCAAAAAGAGGCGGTCGAGGCCTTGTTGGAGGCCGATGTGGACATCACGCTCACAGATCGCCATGGAAACACGGCACTTCACCTGGCGGCTCAGCAGAAAGAGGACAACATGCTGCGATTGCTGCTAAAGTACAAACCAGTGGTGCAATTAACCAGCATCCCGAACACAGCAGGTACGGCGGACTGACTATGTCAAAACCATTAAAGCTGATTTGAAGCTGTTCTGTATGCTCAGATGTGTGTGTGTGTGTGTGTGTTCAGGTCTCTGTCCGCTTCACCTGGCTGTACAAGCAAACGGTTTGAGTTGTGTGCGAGCCTTGCTTGATGGCGGGGCAGATGTGGATGTTCAGGAGATCACGTGTGGCCACACAGCACTTCACCTGGCCACAGAGCTGGGAAACCTTTCCCTTGCCGGCTGCCTCCTGCTGGAGGTACAGTGATGGGTTTGAAGGATGTTGCTTTAGTGAATACTACATATTCCTAATATTGTAAAGTTTTGCTCTACATGCTCTTAACCTTTGCATTTTCCCCCCATGAAGCCCACCTATAATGTTAATCAATACATGATTGTCATAATTTAATCTTTCATGATTTTTTACACATTCTCACTAACTCTAATTCTGTTAGAATTAAAAAGTAGAATTTTTATTGTGCTGCTAAAAAACTATTATAGCTAATCTTGTTTCATGTGAAATGAGTAATAAGAAATGAGAGTTTGTGTTTATACTGTTGTTTTTTGTAATAAGTCTCTTATGCTCACCAAGGCTGCATTTATGTGATCAAAAATACAGTAAAAACAGTAATATTGTGAAATAATATTACAATTTAAAATAACTTTTCTATTTTAATATATTTTAGAATGTAATTTATTCCTGTGATGTAAAGCTGAATTTTCAGCATCTCTGCTCCAGTCTTCAGTGACACACGACCCTTTAGAAATCATTCTAATATGCTGATTTGCTCAGGAAACATTTATTCTTATTATCAGTTTAGAAAACTGCTGTGCTGCTTAATATTTTTGTGGAAAACTTGGTAGATTTTTTTCAGTAATTTTTGATGAATAGAAATTCCTATGATTTGAAATGAAACATTTTTGTAACATTGTCTTTACTGTCACTTTTGATCAGCTTAATGCATCCTTGCTGAATAAAAGTATTAATTTCTTTAGAAAATGCTGAAATAATGTGCTTATGAAGTTATTAATCGTAATTATCTCTTAATTAATGAACTGACCTTAACTAACTAAAAAAAAATGGACTCTTTGTTATTGTCCTCTTGCATTATTGACAAACTATTTTCCTGTTTGACACTGTAAAGTTGCTTTGACACAATCTGTATTTTATAAAGCGCTATACAAATAAAGGTGACTTGACTTGAATGACACTTTGTGTGTAACATTTTGTCTATGCAGGGTAATGCATATGTAGACAGCGTCACCTATAATGGTTCAACTCCTCTGCACGTTGCTGCAGGACGTGACTCAACCAAACTGTGCGCGCTCCTGATGGCTGCAGGTGAGGAAGTGTGTATTTATTACAGGTGTATGACTAACATGACATGTCTACAAATAACTGTCTGTAACATCCTGTCCTGCTGTCATCAGTGTTCTGCTTATATCTCTGGTAGAATTAGCCAAAAGCAACTTTTTTATCATTTATTGAAGATAAATAATCACTCATCCCAAGTAATAATTAGTACTTTTGTGACCATATATATTGGATTAAATTACTTTGACAAGAGGTTACCAATTAGTGTTGTGTACCTTGCTTTTAGGAGCAGATCCTCATAAAGAAAACTTTGAACCACTGTTCTTCAAAGAAGATGAGTTGTGTGGTACATGTGAGGAGGAGGAGGAGGAGGAAGATGAAGGCTATATTCCTGGGACAACCCCTCTGAACATGGCAACCTCCCCAGAGGTGGCATAGAGAGTCATATCTTTGGATAATTGTTGTATTATGTAATGTAATTGTATTACAGGTTGCCAGTGGTTCTGTATGTAATTTAATGCATGTTTTCAGGTGTATGATATTCTTAATGGAGAAGAGTATCAGCTCACCACCACTGTTGTTCCACCACAAGGTATGAACACTGAGATGAATATAAACTACCATTCAAAAGTTTGGGGTCAGTTATGTAGGTATGTATATATTTATTTATCTATGGAAAGACTTAAAAAATACTTTTATTCAGCAAGAACACATTAAATTGATCAAAAATTACAGTAAAGGCTATAATGTTACAAAATATTTCCATTTCAAATTAATGCTGACTTTTAAACTTAAAAAAAAGAATCCTAAAAATATCATCAGTTTCCACAAAAATATTAAGCCACACAAATGTTTTCAAATTTGTATAATTAAAAAGAAATGTTTCTTGAGCACCAAATCAGCATATTAGAATGATCATTTGACACTAAAGACTGGAGTGATGGCTACTGAAAATTCAGCTTTGCCATCAAAGAAATAAATGACATCATAAAATATTGTAAAATAGAAAACAGTTATTTAAATCATAATAATATTTCATTATATTACTGCTTTTTTTTCTTTCAAAAGATTTTTTAAAAACCTTACTGACCCAGACCTTTTGAATGGTAGTGTTGTAGGCTCTACAAAAAAGTATTTTGGTAACATTTATCCTTCTGGTTTTTTGTTGATGTTTTTTTTTTGTATTGTTCAGGGTTTCCACATTCACAAAAAAAACTGGAAATATCAGGGAATTTTAAAATGGTGTTTTCTAGGCATGCAATATATATATATATATATATATATATATATATATATATAAATAATGCCCTCCTCTAATTATTCAATCAACTTGAAATTAGCCAAAAAATTGAACCAATATGTATGTTAAGAACGGTTTTGTGTTTGTGTACATTTAAATGTGTTTTTGGCTTGTGTTGGCAGGTGACATGAAGAGCTTGAGCTCTGACACAAAGCAGGAGCTGTGCCAGGCCCTGGAAGGACAGACGGGAGGCTGGGAGAGTCTGGCTCATGCTCTGGGGCTTGGCATCCTGACCAGTGCCTTCAGACTCAGCACCTGCCCTGCTAGAAAGCTGCTGGACAGCTATGAGGTCAACTAATGTACTTCCTTTTTGACTACAAATAACTTTGACTTGAATCTTAAATGAACACCAGAGAATTGTCTCTTAATCTGATGTTATCCACAATTGACCGGCATACTACAGAAGCACCAGTTCTTAATTATATTATATTATATTATATTATATTTTGAAATATCCAGAATTACTGAACCTAGTTAAGTCCTATCAACCCATATTTCTCAGAACAACATTAAAGAAATGAATTGCTCTAACATTTACTATATCAGTAGGCTGAACATTAATTTAGTTTTGTGCATTCTGTAGTTGCTCTGGTTTCAGCTGCTGATGATCTGTCCCCTCTGCAGGTGTCTGGAGGAACGGTGCGTGAGCTGGTTGAGGGACTGAAGCATGTTGGGAACAGCAGTGCTGTCAGTTTACTCCAGGCTATGTGCAAGGAGCCTGAAGCTGTCCACACCACGCCTCAGCTCACAGGTAATATTGACTGATATGTGCTTTTCTTGGTGATGTGGCCTAGGTGGTTGAACATCAGCCAAAAGTTGTTGGTTCTAGCCCCCCAAAAGGAGTGGTCCATGAAACATTACCATTGTACCCTGGTATGCGGGTATGCATAACCACAGGTTGGTCACAGGACTTTCCCTGTAGTAAGTGCACTGTAAGTTCCTTTGGATGTGTCAGTAAAGGAGTTAGTCAAATGGCTTTAAAAAAAATGTAATCTTATTTCAGATTAGATAAGCTGAGTTCAGAACAGCTGCAACATTTACACAACCCTGTGATAACATCAGTTGAATTATGCTCACCAAGGCTGCAATTGAGAAGTATTAATAGTTTTCTGTTTTAATATATTCTCAAATCTGTTTTATTCCTGTGATGGAAAGCTGAATTTTCAGCAACCATTACTGTAGTCTTTAGTGTCAAATGACAGGCTAATAAACCTGACAGAAGAATTGTTTATTATGATTTGATTAATACACGGGACTACATTTAATTGTGATCATATTTGAGTCAAATTTCTGTTGTCACCATTTTATAAAACCGTTTATATTTGATAAAAGATTCAACTATGGTAAAATCACAGTAACCCATGGTCTTGAGTGGCTTATTGCTTTCATTTCTAAAGGCACAACTATATATGTTAGTAGATGACGGTTTTTAATATTTCCTTTGTTCTGTGTACCAGAACATAAACCTCAACAATTCATCTTCTCAAAACATGTTTTTTGCTCGTTGGTGTAGCATTTTGGATCTTTTTCCAAGAGCACATCATCACTGTGGCATTTTGCAGTATGAGTGAGAATTTAATCTGTATTGTTCTGTTGGGGAGTTTTTTTTTTGTCCCACATTATGGTTTGTAAAACCCCCTGATTAAATCACTGTCAGTCTCGGTTCCCTGCCCTCCTTAACAATTGTATCACGTTGTGGTTCTCCCTGACATAACCTCATGTGAACTCAAGCATGATGTCAACAAAACAGCACAGCCACTACATTCTGAGGGAGTTCCGCTCGGTCTCAGGGTGACCCATCATACTGCGGTAGTGTTCACATATAGTCTCCGCGTGATGGCCATGTTTCAGGGGGAAGCGGACACTAGAGAGGGGGATTCCCAGGAACAGAAGTGAAAGCCAGATATGGCACTTCTGGGTTTTGTCTCCTGAGCAGTTTCTTTGAAACAAGTATTTCCACCTTGCTGTCTGATTTGAAGGGTTGAACTTGACATAGTCATCGTCAGGGTCGAGTGAGCGTGTAAGTGCCACCAGGGGAAGGTTCTTTTTTTTTCTCAGTTTCCTTCTCATGGTTGTACGTATTGTTGTGCCACGTTTTAGAGATTAAAGGGGTCATATAATGCGATTTAAATTTTTCCTTTCTCTTTGGAGTGTTACAAGCTCTTAGTGCATAAAGAAGATCTGTAAAGTTGCAAAAACTAAAGTCTCAAATCCAAAGAGATATTCTTTATAAAAGTTAAGAGTCAACCACGCCTACCTAAAACGGCTCGTTTTAACACTCCCCCACATGTCTACGTCACGATGTGGGAAGATTTGCATAACACCGCCCAAATGTTCATGCAAAGAAAGAAGGCATAACTTTTATTCTCGCTGTAGTAGTATTGTTGTTGCTGCCGCCGCCATGTCGTGAAGGCGCTGTGTTTCGTTGTGAAAGTGAAACTACTTTGTTTGGTCTTCCAAAAGAGGACGATATCCGCTTCGTCATGCCTAGAGCTGATCCGTGCTGGTCGCTGAGGAAATACATCAACTTTGCGCTGTGGATCGCCGGATCGGCTTTCACCGTGGATGAAGCGGAGTCCAGCCCGGGGTCGTCACATGTGGTTGCCGTAAGCCCGCCGGATGCTCCTTCGTTGAATCCGCCGGCCGTGCCGTTCTCAAGCCCACCCGCCTCTGCTCACTCAAGCCGGCCTCCGCATACTCTCACTCTAGTCCTCCGGCCTCCGTTCACTCAAGGCCGGAGGTGAAAGCGAATCTACTTTGTTTGGCCTTCCAAAAGAGGACATGACTAGAAATCAGTGGTTAAGTTGTATTTACAACACTGTTCCAGAACAGTTTAACCCAAATATTCAGATGTGTGCAGCAGATGTGTGTTAATGTCAGGATTGTTTCCTGATCCTGGTAGAGTAGACTACAATGCCGGCTGTTCTTACTCACAGACTGTAAGTATGTTTTTTTTATATTTAAAGAATTTGCCACTGACGATTCAAAAGCGAGTTTTTTGGGCAGTGTAGAGGAGGGCTTGTTGTTTGTCATTTCTCCGATCACAAATGCAGACATGGTTTTATGTTTACGCGGCGCGATGCAACGCAACGCATAAAAAGACAGTATAAGTCATTATAATCCATAATTATGTCCCCACTGGATGCAACGAATGCCTCGTTTATAATGGGTTTTAATGTTTTTGTCTCGCTGCTCCGGCCGGACAGGGCATCACAATACACACTTGATGTATTCGGCCAATCACAACGCACTGGATAGCTGGCCAATCAGAGCACACCTCGCTTTTCAGACCGATGAGCTTTGTAAAAATTGACGTGTTTCAGAAAGGCGGGGCATAGAGGAGAAACAATAATGTACAATATGTGGAAAATAATGTGTTTTTTTAACCTTAAACCGCATAAACACATTTCATTACACAAAAAAAATTTCTTTTTAGCAGCATCATATGACCCCTTTAATAAATATCTGTAACAGCAGTATGATAAAAACGCATCAATGGATGATGGTGAGATCAGATCTCTGTGTGGAGCACTGGCTGCTATCAGACTCCTTGTGCATACAAAAATCTCAGTGCATTATTCCAATTATTGGCAATTGGCAAAAGAAATGTTTAGAATTGTAAACTGATATTTTGTACTGACACACTACAGCAAAAGATAGAAATGACTGACTTAAAACCATTTTTTGTTGGTGAAAATACTAGTGGCCTAAGACTTTTGCACAGTAGTGTGTGTGTGTGTGTGTGTGTGTGTGTGTATATATATATATATATATATTATCTACATGAATTCTATTCATAGAATTATTTTCTTTTATAAGAAAGATGTATAATAATTTCCTGTAAAAAATTAGGGAAAAGATTTGAAATTTTTTACTGACATACTAATAATAATCACCCTTCTTTTCCTCAAAACAAACGATTTCTCAGGTCCAGGGCTCTGTAAGTCCATTCAGGGTTTGACACTGGGCCCCCATCAGGAAGAGAGTGGGATATGCGACAGCGGGGTGGAAACCTCTTTCTAGAGCCCTAACCTCAGTCTTGCAGACTCCAAACACAATCGCACAAACTGAGGCCTGACCCTAAAAACAGCTTCTCCCTCCTCACTACAGCACCACTCAACCTCAGGATACACCTCCAAACTCTTTAATTGGTCACCGCCCACTGTGGATGCTCCACCCAAAATGCAAATGAGGGAACGTTGAGGAGTCCTTAAGCTTTCTGGCCACAGGGATTTTCTTCTATTTTTTTATTTTTAGCTTTTAATATAAATAATACCAAAAAGCACTTATTTGAACATTTTATTTTGTCCTTTTATAAGAGCTATATTTACTTGGTCATTTTTAATTTTCAAGTGGCTAGTTTCAGTTGTGCTAAAGCTGAGGCAGCAGATAAAGTCCAGAGCCCATTTGGAACAAATATAGTTATATTAAAGGGTTAGTTCACCCAAAAATGAAAATTAGCCCATAAATTACTCGCCCTCAAGTCATCCTAGACGTATTTGACTTTCTTCTTTCAGACGAATCCAGTCAGAGTTATATAAAAAATTGTCTTTGATCTTTCAAGCTGTTTAATGGCACTCAGCGGGTGTTGCATGCATCAGTCCAAAAGAAGTTAAATAAAAAGTGCCCATCCATAAAAAAAAAGGGGTGAACAAAGTCTTCCTGTAGCGAATCGATGCATTTTTGTAAGAAAAATATCCATATTCAAAACGTAATAATCACTTTAATGTAGCTTGCGCCAACAGTTGTACACAGAAGCAGCTCCGGGCGGATGATGGATGAGGTCGACTTTGTGCATGCGCCGCTCAGAAGTGACGAACGCGGAAGCGCAGGGGAGAGATCAAAACAAAACAACGGTCATTTATTAGAAGTACAAAACGAGGATTTGTAAAGAAGAATGTCGGAGGACTTCGATATAAGCCAAGAGGTTTTCCTTTGCTAAAGTAAGGAAACTTTGCTTCCTTTGCTCCTGTCAACAAACGTTGGTTTTCACGAGACTCACCAGCGCATGCGCAACGCCGACCTCATACGTCATCAGCCCGGAGCTGCTTCTGTGTAGGACTGTTGGCACAAGCTAGATTAAAGTTATTATTACGTTTTGAATATTTTGAATGATGCATGCAACACCCACTGAGTGCCAGTAAACAGCTTGAAAGATCAAAGACAATTTTTTATATAACTCTGACTGGATTCGTCTGAAAGATGAAAGTCATATACACCTAGGATGACTTGAGGGTGAGTAATTTATGGGTAAATTTTCATTTTTGGGTGAACTAACCCTTTAAGAAACTCAATATTTAGGTTTATGATGTCTTGGACTTCACATTTTTACATTCTCAGGCCGATTTTCTAAAGTGCTTATTGTCAGAATTTTTTATGAATACAAAATTTGTCTGGTTTGATAAGTCTGGCCTCAACTATTTGCTTCCTTTTGTTATTATATTTTAACAAACAATCCGGTTTAAGAACAGCACCTTCAGTATATATAACGTCCTCCTTTAGCCATTTGCTTACAAAGGGTTTTCATCTGTAGCGGCAATGCAATGACGTATAGGAAGAGGAAGAGCGGAAGAAGAGGACTATTGGATTATTATGACCCTCTCGACCAATCCGATCTGTTGGATAATGGAAAAAACTCAGAAAAGACCCATTCTGCTGTTGCCCTGCAACCCTTCAGCTGTGATGTACAGCATTATTTGGGGTGGTGATTGGATTTATTTCGCATTTAGTGGTGCTACCTGTAATTCCTATTTTTTGCTCAAGGGTTCTGTTTCAAAAATGAATAAGCTTTGAGAGAATATTCTCTCTTTCACATTTTTGATTGATTAAAAAAAAAAAAAAACAGGAAGGTCAGTCCTGGGCAGCGATTGGAGTGTTTGACTAGATTTTGATGGACTCTGAGAGAGAGAGAGAGTGTGTGTGTGTGTGTGTTTGTTTGTTTGTTTATGTGACTTTGAGGAGCTTTACAGGAAGTGTGTATGAGGATTGTAATAACCAAATGCCTCAAATGCCCTTCATGAAATATTTGTAGTGACATACATTGAATCTCATTCCCTTCTGCTGTGTGAACTCAGGCTGTATAAAACAAAATATCACTCCGATAATATGCTGATCTAAGATCAGTTCTGTTCTTTTTTTTAGAAATTTTTTAAACATGGCCTTTGACCTTTGAACTGACTTGGGGACTCATGTCACCAAAATGTGTTTAGTTGCCGTAATATTTTCATACTATAGTGAATCATTTTTAAAAAGCAACAAAATCATCTGAAACCCCAAATTAAAGGTTTGACGGGCACTATAATGTATTATTATTTTTTGGCTGTAAATTGGTATTTATGTCTGTACCCTGTGAAGCAGTGTTGTACAGAGGGGAAAATGTGTGCTTTGTAACTGGTTTTATTGTGATACTTTTATAATAAAACAATTCATTGTGTACTACTGCTTTGACTATCCATATTGCACACATATTTGTTTTCTCTCCATAATTGTGTTGTCTTCTGTTAAACCACCAGCAGATGGTGTCCAATCTTGCCTTTTTAAACATCCAATTATTTGAATTTCAATTCTTTAACTCTCATATATCTGTCTTTTCACATTTATATTGCATAATATTTATTATATATTAGAATCTTAAGCTAATTACAGTATAGGCTAACAATTAAATACAATAGTATTTATAGAATTTAATAACTTTTTCATTACCTGTTGTTATTCTACATTTCTTCAACTCCAACTTATTCTTTGAATTTTTAAGTTTAGTAGTATATAGCTAGTTAGCTAAACATAAAGACACATACAATTTTTATGTGTGTATATACATATATGTATATAAATGTTTTGTCCATATTAGTGCCTGATACTGAGAGTAAAACAACTCGCGCAAACATTTTAAACAGTTTGTTTTGATTCTATAAAAAGGAACTGAAAAAAATGACAATATTATTTTAGTTTTTTATTATTTGTCTGTTTTACAAACTTGACTCTTGATGGTTGACAATCACTGCACTATAGGATTGCTTCCATATTGGACTCAGCTGGACCACTATTAAAATTTAGTCCTGGGCCCTGACAATTTAAAGGAATAGTTCACCCAAAAATCAAAATTTACTGAAAATATACTTACCCTCAAGCCATCCGAGATGAAGTTGAGTTTGTTTCTTAATCAGAACAGATTTTGAGAAATATTGCATTTCATCACTTGCTCACCAATGGATCCTCTGCAGTGAATGGGTGCCGTCAGAACGAAAGTCAAAATAGCTGATAAAAACATCACAGTAATCCACACGACTGTAGTCCAATTAATGTCTTGTGTAGCGAAAAGCTGCATGTTTGTAAGAAACAAATCCATCAAGGCATTTTTAAATCCATAATGCTTTCTCCAGTGGAAAAAAAATCCAACCCTGATGTCCTCTCACATCTAAATCCACCAACATATTTGCTTAGAACTGTTTTAGACCATTTTCATTTGTAATCAGTGCTGTATCTGTGAATATTTCTCTCCTGATTCAGACAAGACAGCTGTTTCACTAAAGAAAGCAATGTTCTGGATAGAGGACATTTCTGAGTGAACTATTCCTTTAAGCAATATCTTTGGGCCTGGACACTGTTGTTCCAGGTATGTTCAAGGCGTGTCCTCAGTGCATTTAGCAATCTGAGTGACATGTAAGAGAAATTTTTACCATCACAGGAAGCATATGTACTTCACAACATAGTGGTGTCACAATGAGCTGTGACCACCCAGTCTGTGTGTAGGTGATTGTGTCTGTCTGATAGAGTATTAGCTACACAATTTGCCTCCAGAAGTGAGCTAAATCTGAGAAAACCTTCATTTGGGTATGTCCTCACAAGCAAAGTAATGAGTCATACTTTTTCATTCTACTCTATGATATAAAACACTTATGACTGTAAGTGAGCAGCCATGAGGGTGTGGAACTCTCACCCCTGCAGAACATCATAATGTCCTGCAAGCGTCAAAGTCACAACGGAATTCCGCATTCTAAAAACAGCCTGTGGATCCTGCTTGGAGCTCTTGTGTGTGTGGCAAGCTGGTTAAACATTACACCTTACAACTAGGCATCGGCCGATTACTGGTTTCACGGTATACCACGATTTGAAAATTTCACGGTTTCAAAACCACTAATATTTTTCGTTATACCGTTCCTTCGGTATGCGCTGTTTTTCATGTCTCCTCAAAGACTGAAAGTGTAGGAATCCCTCAGGTTGAGTGCAGTGTAGAGAGTAACATGACTCTCCTCCTCCTGTTGGTGCAAGTGAGCGGTCAGTCACGTGTGTGTGACTTACGCGATCGGCAACCGTATGTTTTTTGTCTTATTGCAACTCGTCTCTGTTCTGGACTTGCACAAACTGCATTGCAATGCAATAATTTTCCAAAATGTCATTTATGTGAAAATATCTGTCTGTAAAAAAAAAAAAATGTCTGTAAATGCCCGTTAACACAGGCCAGAGATGATGGGCTCTGATTGGTTAGTTAGCCCAGTGTGTTGTGATTGGCTAAACCGCCTAGTGCGCGTCTAATCGTCCCGCCCCTCACCTCAGCGGCATGTGCTCTGGTTGTATTGTAAACAATGGCATCGTTAATATCGCTTATCAGTTTGAGCCCGATTGAGAAACAGATTATATTATTGAGGAGGATCGTGCAGCCCTGCCTTTCTGAAACGCGTCTATTTTTACAAATCTCATCGTTCTGAAAAGCGATGTGCACGCTGATTGACCAGCTATCCAGTGTGTTGTGATTGGCTGAATACCTCAAGCGTGTGACAGAAATGTTAACATACTGTGATGCTGTGTCTCCCGGCACAACGACACAAAACCAATAAAACCCATTACAAACGAGGCATAAACTGCATTGCAATGCAATAATTTTCCAAAATGTCATTTATGTGAAAATATCTGTCTGTAAAAAAAAAAAAATGTCTGTAAATGCCCGTTAACACAGGCCAGAGATGATGGGCTCTGATTGGTTAGTTAGCCCAGTGTGTTGTGATTGGCTAAACCGCCTAGTGCGCGTCTAATCGTCCCGCCCCTCACCTCAGCGGCATGTGCTCTGGTTGTATTGTAAACAATGGCATCGTTAATATCGCTTATCAGTTTGAGCCCGATTGAGAAACAGATTATATTATTGAGGAGGATCGTGCAGCCCTGCCTTTCTGAAACGCGTCTATTTTTACAAATCTCATCGTTCTGAAAAGCGATGTGCACGCTGATTGACCAGCTATCCAGTGTGTTGTGATTGGCTGAATACCTCAAGCGTGTGACAGAAATGTTAACATACTGTGATGCTGTGTCTCCCGGCACAACGACACAAAACCAATAAAACCCATTACAAACGAGGCATTTGTTGCATCCAGTGAGGACATAATTACTGTTTTTACGGGTTGTGTTGCGTATCGCGCCGCGTAAACATAAAACCATGT